TTGACTGATGCATTTTTTAGTCCTCAGTTTCCGAGGCCCATGTATGCTCAGACAGCTGGTTCAGTTTTGTTGATTCTACTAACCAAGGGTTCTTGGTTGTCCTTGTCTTCCTAAATCCGTTCAGTTGCAATTTACGAAAATACTTTAACTAGTGGTAACCGGTGGGATTTGAGTGCAGACGGAACACACAGGCTGCTGGAATGTTGGAAGCAGGGTTACACGGATGGGTGATAGCCGCCAGTATACGAATATGGTACTCGAAGGAAGACTGTGAAGATGAAGGCACAAGCGGAGATGTGCCATAAGAACTGATGACCTGGAAAATGATTCTACTCAACCAGCACATTGGTAACTGGTGGGATATAAGTGCAGACGGAACACAGAGGTTGTCAGCTGCTGGGATGTTGGAAGTAGAGTTACACAATGAAGCAGAACAGTGGGAGAAGAGTCTCGTAGGATGGTTCCTTTTATTCATGCCGATAGGTCCCTTGTACAGATCGATCACAAGGTTTTACATAACATTCAACAAATGGGCGCATTTAAGCAGACTACAGAGCACAACATTACAACCTGGTTTGGAAAAACGATTTTGTTTTCTATGAATATCCCAGGTTGATACGCCGCATGCCCAAAACTGAAAACTGCTAGGATGGGTTGATAAGGCAAAACCTAATAAAACATGGAAATGATACATTAGCCAAAATTAGCTTAAGAAAAAAATTGCAAAAATGGAAAATCCCTTTGCCGATATAGCCGAAGCTTTGATAAGGGTGCAAATTTGTTGCACTTTTTATTAACTTTTAACTCCAGCCTGAATTGACGGCTAACCATATCTATGATTCCGAAGGCAATCATAGACCTTTTAATATGGTTTGGAATTGACAAAAACTAATAAATACATACATCAATATCCTGTTGAACAATAAGTCAACTACAGTAAGGCAATGACAATATAACATATACGATATACTAAAGAGCTCGAGATGGTTAAGCGGTCAAGCAGAGAATGTAGCTATTGGAAGCCCCGTGGTTCCAAATCCGGCATGTTGATAGCTCCTGTCGGGACTTCGCCAGTCTAGCGTTATCTCAGCCGCCGTCCTTCGTTCGTTTGGATTGAAAGCTATGCACTAGAAGGAAAGAAGGAACAACGGAATAAAGAGTTATTTTCTCTTAGATTCATTCTGCGGGCCATCTGATTTTATTATTTAATTTTATTCAGCTCAATCACAGTTACACAGTTCCTGTAGGTGCTTGCTTCAACCAAGAAGTACCTCATACCATCCAGGAACAGTCTCTAATGCAGATACTCTGAAAGCCAGCCATTACTGTTTTTACTGTCGCCACCGCTGTGCCCAGTTTGAAGATTTTGACCATCAAACAGTGAACGGATAGGAGAAGGTTGGGCATACTAAACCAGATCATATTGCATACGATGTGTAGAAAGGTACTCTTCCTCCGGTTTTATACAATTAGGTTCCTCGCCAAAAATGTCAATCGCTTTGAGGAAAACACACAACACAGAAACCAGGATTTTTGTCCCTATGACGACTGACAAGAGAAGCACTGACAGACCATGCTCAAGGTGTTGTCTCTCTTCGGAGAGCACCGCGCGTGTAATTAATTCGCAACGTATCGAATGCATTACGTAACATACTATCTGTCTGAGCGTTCGGAATTATTTGACTAGGTTAAGTAGTATAAATTTATTTTCTGATGGTTTATTACTGAATCGAAGCCTCGCAATCTATCAACAAAAATGGACGATATCGATCCTACACAGTCCGTCCTATCGGTTTGACGTAGCGCACTGGTTGCAACGGTTTTTCGTTGAATAAACAGAGGGACGGAGGGGTTATGTTCTCACATGTTGCATTTGAGAAAAACTCTGGCTTCGGATGATCCCTCTTGTTAAGACAGCTCACCGAAGCGGTAAATTTGACTTTCTCTCTTGCCGTAACACAGATAATCTGATAGGGTAGCAAGCAAATGCAACCGTGGGTGGACCGTACTTCCGGTTGATTATATACATTTAAGCTACGTTTAACCCAATCAAGTGCATAACCGAATGTGCGTACATAATGAACACCGCAGCACTTCATGCGGGTTACGATCAAGCTGATGACATAGAGAAGCAAGGGAGTGCTGGTGGCCTTCTACTGACGAGGAAATACACGGAGAGGTTTGTAACTTATACCCATGGGTTGGTCGTTTACTTGTTTACTCTGGTGATGTCAGTCTCCCCCTAATCCCAAAATTCATAGTAAACTGATTTCACCCTTAGTAGACATTGTTGAAATCATTACTTGTGTCTTCCTTAGCTTTATGTTCACTAGTCTGATTTTAGTTCGCCATCTTCTATGAAATGTGGAGTGATAATTTAAAATGCGTGTTTAGGGCTAAAAGTGGTGTGAAGTCTGCTGACACGAGGCAATATACGACCTCGATTTTCACCACAACTGTATACCGGCAGATGCACTGCACCTTCAAGTAGGACAAATAAATCAAAGAAGAATTTTGATTCGATCGTAGAGTAAGGCACTCTGAATGGTCTTGACGTAGCAATTTCTTGAATATAGCTTTTTCGATTTTAGTTGTTTTGATGATACGAGTAAATTCTTCTACGGAGCTTAACTGTAAAACAAGGAGGCAAGTTCCTAATCACACCAGGCAGTCGTTAATGCGCTATTGGGTTTGATGCCAAAACGTTTGGGATGAGAATTCGCTTCCGTGAGTTTTGCGAGTCTCAGATTTAGTGAAAACTACTCAGCGACCTCTTTGGATTGGGTCGAGTTTCAAGGGACGTGAAAGTAGGCGTCACGTGCTAGTTTCACCAGTTTGAACAGTCGATAAGTTAATGTTTACAAGCCTCTAAAATCTGCAATTTTGCACAAGGATGGGTTGATAGTTCAGTATACGGGGTGAAGAGCGAGAGGGCCTGTACAGTTCATCGAGTATTCTATATGAATGGCGTCTCAAATGCGGTCTAATTCTCGTATCAGATGCGGTCATTTTGTACCATTCCAGCCAAACCGTTTCTCCAAATATCTATTGACTAATGTCGATACCAACGCTGCGTGCGTTCATCATTGTCAGCACCGAAGTTTTTCGATTACCAGGGAAAACAACTTGCTGTTTCATAATATCGAGTACACGTCTTCAAACCAAGCTGTTTCAGTGAAACTCCAATATATCATTGCTTTATGGTATTCTGTAACGCTAAAGGTATGCCTTTCTAATCAACTGAAAAGATCAGAACAAAGTCCTGGGTAAAATGTACAGGATTGTGAAAATAAGATGATAGAAACCCACCTATTGTGATTTACATTTCATCACTAGAGAGATGACAACCCTTGGAAAGACAATCACGCAAGAGATGCAAAAAAGGCCATATTTCCGTTTCCGGCATGGCAAATTTACCATCCTTGCAACATTAGTTAATGTACGGGGATAGATGGTGACCATTTCCGTGAATTATTTCACCGTACTTGCAGCCCTACCTCCATACTTGCTTGTCATTTTTTCTTGAAGTGAATCCATATCACGGGAGATCGTTGACGGTTTTTGCTATCTTTCGCCCTTTTGTCTCCAAGGCAAAACGACGGATACCTTTTTCCAAATGAAGCCTAAGATTTTATTCGCTTGGTGAAGAATACATGCAACAGTTTCGAGTGCTACCACACAGGGAAAGAATAATAGACCAAATGCAGCAGACGATTTCTGCGTAACGTTTATTTACCCACGCTAAAGTCGCACGACGAGGCACTTGTGTTGTCCCAAAGGCAGCCAACTCAAATCAACTGCGGTAACGGGGGTCGCAATACACTGATATTTTGTGCGCTGTTCCATCCACGAAATTAGTTGAAAAAAGCTATCGCCTTTGAAACAAATACCCTATGGGGTTCAAGAACACTACTGTCTTGTTGTATGAACTCATTGTAACCTGGTATTATTTTAAAATAATTGCTGCCTCGTGATCTATGGGTGGTAACCCATTAATGGCTTGTAACAGTAAACGTACACGAGCAAATCAATTAAGTGTAAGGTTCTTGACCGACGACACTAATGCTGTCAGTTGCAGGGATTGGAAGGTGGATAGATGTTCTCGTAGCCTGAACGTCGGTTTCCTCATTCAATAAATCTTGCCCACCGCAGTAGTTATTATGTGAGCAGCGCATCTTATTTGATGCATGCTCAGTCAGGATTCCAGTAGCAGGAAAGTAGTAGCAATTCTAAAAGCATTTGTAACCAGGTTTTCATGCATCAAGTGAGTTCAATCGTGTTAAGGAGGCATGGAGCGCTGTACAATCCATGGGCCAAAAGGAAGACTCCAGCCAGAGGCTTTCTGGTTAGTGAAAGAATCTACAAATGACCGATCGGTAGTGTGACCGACTTACAGTATGCCACGATGTAGTATCGCCATCTTCTCAACAAACAATTTCTACTCATACGATCCCGTGCTGATCGCCCCATTGACTGGGTACTTCTCAGACACTTCTGTGGGCTGGCGGGATATCTTAGCTTACGAGCAAATTGCATAAAGTCGACGGTAGCGAGGACGAAATATGTCTGTTTTTAGAGGTTTAAATCACTAATACCAGAGTAACGCTCCGAAACAATGCGATGTAAATTTTGTAGGTCATGCCTTGTCTTGGTATTTCAAGCCCAGTTGTCGGTTAACTAGCCGTACGCGACAGTTTGAATGTCATCTCTATACTGGAAGAAGAACCTGCTTTCCACTCGGTTCGCTCATCATACATCGGATGCTATTGCTGTCTGACTACGGAAGGCTGTTCATTCCTAAGTTTGAGGCAATTCATCTGACGTAAGAAGTCGAAGCATATTGGCCGACAAACCGTATACCTGGCATCTTTTTGCTTCCCCATCGAGAACACTCCTCTACTTTCTAAGCGAATTGTCCTGTTTGCTATTCATATCAAGAGAGATGAAATTCAGGTGCACTTAAGACTTAATAGGCGATTCTTTCGCCCTTTTCATTTCAGCTCTCCCAGTCGACGATTTACGGACGCATCACGTGAGTGATCATATTCTGTTTACGTTTGTTGGCGCCAAATTAGTAATTCTCATCTTAGCTTGCTTCACTCAGATAGTCCTTTATTTCACCTGTCCGTTTGTTATAGAAGCTATAGCGAATTGTATGGGATCAACTTCAACTAGAAAATGAACTCAGTTGAACTTCACTGAATCACAAACTAACGTAGAAGCGGGCAACGCAAGACAGAACTGCTGCTCCATTTTGCTTCAAAAACTGCCCCGAGAAATGAAATTTAGATGGTGACATTCGCAACTACAGTATTTGATGTAGATGTAAGCACAATAATGCTGCCTGTTAAATCTGGTTTGCAAAAACTTCACCTGGCATACACAACCGAATGAAATAATTTACCTGGTCCGTTTTGTCAGCTATGGGGATCCAGGACAAACGAATCATGCCGAATTATCGCTTAAGTACTTCCAGGCACTTGAAAAGCCTGAATAGACTGATGACTACTCAAGAAACGTTGACATATAAGGTAAGCTGTTGCACGCTGTGGAAAGAAAAGTGAAGTTCAACCCTGAATTCTGTCTCGATTTGATACCTGGTGACCGATGCTTCGGATTTTTTTCTCGAAGTTGAGTCAGAATTAGGCAGTATTGTCCAAAGTCAGTCTTCCGCCCGCATCTCCAGCCTTCTTTCGAGATTACTAGCATTCATATCTATCAGTTTAAAAACCGATGGTGATTTTCGGTCAGCGCAACTGGTGTAGTCTCTCCCATGTTTGCAGTTCAGTTGTGATACATTGCATGATCGACTAGTGCCCATCTATGATCCGTATAGACTGATCACTGTGGTGAAACTCTCTGCACGGACTTTTATGTTTCTGTGCTTGTGTTCCTTTGTTGCTCTTTCTGAGGTTGATTGACTGCAGTACAGATACCGGTACCTCAGGGGTTTGTCCGGAATGATATTTAGTCTTGCTGTATGGAGTACGGTTTGGACAAGTGCCGTTTTGTGCTGCATTGGACACAAAATCGAAAATTTCCAGCCGATCATTCCGTAGGCAGAGCGAAGCGCAAAGTTGCCCGCGCATCGAAAGAATTTTGTCGTCTAGTCAAGAATTGCAAAATGGATGCGATTTTTCTGTTGACGTCAAAAAGTGACAGTATATATCTTCGGCTTGTTCCTCTTCTGTCTGGAGTGCTATGTCCCTTAGATATTACTTATCGAGAAGGTATCCGTGAACATCTACTTAGTGCTAGGGTTTCGTCAGCACAACTATCTGCCAATCCCAGAGGAATTTCTTATAGTGACGTTCGGAATGAATGAGGCTGGTAAACTGGAGCTTACGTGTGATATTTTCCGCAAGTGGTTAAGGGAACACATTGAGAACGGAGATGATAGGTCACGAAGGACTGGGTAACTCTTCGTGTTTCAACCTGAAAGCACATAGTTTGCGACAAGTGGACATTGCTGAAAGTGACCAGAACTTAAACAAACACTTGAGGTGGGCTATATCTCTAAACAATGTTTAAAGACAGCTGTCCAGGCGGCATCATGGGAACCCGTTAACTATACGGCTCGCCGTTCGTATCCAAAATAAAACATAATCAATAGGGTTACAAAAAGCAATAAGGCTACAGTATACCGTCAGAAATGTTTGAGTTTACTGAATTAACTCTGAGCAATAAGGCGATGCAATCAAACAACCCACTGAAAAGGTGCTCCATTATCAACAGACCGTATTCCGCCGAGGTTCGCAACACCGTAGCTCATGGCGAGTCTTGTTTGCAAACACAAGCCAGTCTACTTGGACTGAAACCATCCGACTCCGTGTCATTTTTGGGTTATATGGAACACTTATGTTTCCCGTATTAAGATCCGTGTTTGCGACATAGCAAGCTTCTGATGTGTCGTGAAAACAGATGAGTGAATTGATTTGCAAGGTGGATACTTAGTAGATGTACAATGCGACTGGCTTTCTGGGTGAGGATGAGGTGGATATGAGTTGTGCGAGTGGACCAAAATAACGATATACGGTTTGCAAATCTACTCCTAATGGCAGTGCCTTTAGCCAGACCAGACTTAGATCAACATTAAAGACAATGTCCCTGGCAGTTGTCAACAGACTCTTCAAGTCCAGGAGTTTTGCGCAACTTGTTGTACAACTACGAGACACAACACACTAGAAGTTGATAATTCCAATTCAGTACACAAGAGGTAGGCTGTTCAATACTGGTGAAAAATGGACGTGTCCAACAGTCCACGGAGTAGGTATTGATTTCGAGGCATCATTTTGTTTCCCTTGGCAAGTGAACATTCGAGATTCGTTGATCATAAAAGACCCGACAGAGGTCATCCCCAACGCATGTACGTCTGTATTATTCGCGAAAACTTAACCCATTTGCATAAGGTGGTCAATGCAACACTCTCATCCGCTGTAATTGCACGAATGTAGGTCGCAGTCACACAACCATCCTATAAAAAGTTTCAGGGCGAGGGACGCTGGTGTGTCAATCACAATACCAAAGGAGGTCACGTATCTCTCTCAGCATTCCCTTAACCAATCCCTTACACTTCTGACTGACTCAAGTGTATTTTAACTCTGACCATGTACCAAATACTTAGTACAGTACACCTGGGTGGTAAAGTTTACAAACTACATTCAATGACGTCAATTTTTGCCAGCCAGTCATTATGCTCATCGGTTAACCTGCAGCCAAAGTGGTGCAAACACCGGTGCATACACCAGTCCAATTGGCCGAAGACTGAAAACGCTGGTGAAATATCGTCTACTAAGATGGGTTCGTACACTGATAGCTAGCATTTATTCAACCAACGAAGTCTAGTAGACAGAGGGTAAAGGAATAGACTCTTCACTCCCCATTAGGAAGCCGCTGTTCACGTATGTTGACTTTTCTCAAAGCAATAGTAACTGCCTTATTTACCTTATCTTAATTACTTCATAACACGCCCGCAGGAATACGTTAGGGGCATTTTAAGCCGGTCATGATTTTAGCATTTACTCGTGTAACATTTTTGTTTTTATCGGTAGTGTGGACAACTTTATTTTGTCTCACACCGGACCACGTGAAACAAATTCGCCTGTTCTGCAATCACATTATTCAAAGTGCTTTTCTAAACTGATCAGCGGATCAAAGTACACTGATTATGAAGCTGATCAAATCTGAGTTGATCCAACTTTAAAAGACTGCCTCAGTTCAATCAAATACAGCTTTTCGTGTAACAAACAAAGCGCAGAAATTCCTCAGCTGTTACTCTTCGGAGGCACAAATGTGTTGGTGATGAAGGAACCTAAGATTGCCGAAATTTCAATATCCCCTTGGAAATGGATGGTTATCACTTGTTGATCATTGAAAAGTATGACAAACAGCTATGCTACTTGAAAATGATATCAAGCAATGTTATATCCAAGGGGTCGGCTGGACAGAAGATGTGACCGTAGGCCTCACATCCAACTCAGTTTTAATCTCATTTCTCAACTTGCTTGGTTGACACAGACAAGGAAGGATAGGCTGAAGTAAAAAAAGCTTACGGTGGCATGAACCTGCTGTTGACTGTTGATCTGACTCCGACCACTTGAACCTGAGAGGCATCCTTATATACCATCAATCAAAAATCGCATGGTCAACGTCGCCAAAAGTTTCCATCCAAACAGATTGACCACTTTGCATATGAGTGACATATGGCTTGCCAAAACATTGAATAATGGCTGATCAGCCGTCTTATTTGTTTAGATCATGCGTGACTAGAGGTGTTCGAGGTTATCTTGTCTAATAGTGACATGTTTGCAACAAGCTGGTCAAATTCAACAAATAGAACACCAACCACATGATTCGCAGTTAGAATTTAACTAGCATTTTCCAAAAAAGGACCTAGAGGTAATCATGTAATTAAGTCGTGATGAAATCAATTACCAAGCTGGATACCATGTGATTTCCGAACTATGTCACCTTTCATTGCATTATTTTGATAGTGTGCACACAAATATATTTTTCACACAGATCTCCTTGGTGAAAATACGTCTAACCCAGTCAAATCACTTCGGTTTTCTCTACCAAAATGTATCAGTTCCAATATTTTTGAGTTTTGGAAAGGAAGTTAGGCCATGCCGATCGTGGACACTGCTTATTCTTACTAGTGGACCAACTGTATACAAACGAATCTATGATAACTGCGTTCGTTATTGGAACAAGCCGATCTGCAAGCTTTTCCAAGGAAATGGCACGACAATCTTTGGTTCCAGACTTGTTTTATTTCGAATGCATTTTCCTCTTTCGTTATTCTATCCAATCATCTTGTGGTATATTCTCCATGACTTTCTTCCAGGTGGTCACTGTCACGATGATACCACCGACCGAGGTATTGATAAACGCGCCAAAAGAAAACTTCTTATTGCATCTGGTTTATGTTTGTGCTTCATGATTGGAGAAGTGGTCGGTAAGTTTCCAATTTGTCCGAACCGATAGGGATGACTGTGCTTGCCATTGCATATCTATTTACATCTATCTATCTATCTATCTATCTATCTATCTATCTATCTATCTATCTATCTATCTATCTATCTATCTATCTATCTATCTATCTATCTATCTATCTATCTATCTATCTATCTATCTATCTATCTATCTATCTATCTATCTATCTATCTATCTATCTATCTATCTATCTATCTATCTATCTATCTATCTATCTATCTATCTATCTATCTATCTATCTATCTATCTATCTATCTATCTATCTATCTATCTATCTATCTATCTATCTATCTATCTATCTATCTATCTATCTATCTATCTATCTATCTATCTATCTATCTATCTATCTATCTATCTATCTATCTATCTATCTATCTATCTATCTATCTATCTATCTATCTATCTATCTATCTATCTATCTATCTATCTATCTATCTATCTATCTATCTATCTATCTATCTATCTATCTATCTATCTATCTATCTATCTATCTATCTATCTATCTATCTATCTATCTATCTATCTATCTATCTATCTATCTATCTATCTATCTATCTATCTATCTATCTATCTATCTATCTATCTATCTATCTATCTATCTATCTATCTATCTATCTATCTATCTATCTATCTATCTATCTATCTATCTATCTATCTATCTATCTATCTATCTATCTATCTATCTATCTATCTATCTATCTATCTATCTATCTATCTATCTATCTATCTATCTATCTATCTATCTATCTATCTATCTATCTATCTATCTATTATCTATTCTATCTATCTATCTATCTATCTATCTATCTATCTATCTATCTATCTATCTATCTATCTATCTATCTATCTATCTATCTACTATCTATCTATCTACCTACCTATCTACCCATTTACACATAATTTACGTAGATATGTTCTACAAGTGTGATGAAAATGGAAGCTTTATCTTCTAATCAACACTAGTTGTGTTAGTTGCATCAGTTTCATTTATTTGGTTGTGTAACTCTTCACTAGTCCTGCTTCCTTGTAATTCATTGAAATGTGTTATTTGGTGTCGCGTAATAACCGAAATGATCAGTTTATAGACAAACCGTTCTGGTAGCAATTTTTGAAGCGTTCATTATGTGAGGCAAACTAATCCTTTAAGGTGGTAGTGTTCTTATAGTTTTTGTGGTGACCAACCGTTGGTTATGGTTATCCACTCCGGCTATCGGGTACCATGATAATGTCGCGGTCCGCCTGCAACTAAATATCGTCCGTTTCTCACCACATTTCCGAGGACATTGCAACTAGTGTGGATTTGCTCACTCTTCAACAATGATGACGATCGCGAGGATTACGGTAAAATCATGCTAATGTTGATGTTGTTTTGATGAGGATTGATGATGATGATGATGATGATGATGATGATGATGATGATGATGATGATGATGATGATGATGATGATGATGATGATACTGATCTCCTCGAATGTCCGTTTAGGACGTATATTGTTCAACCATCACTGGAAATTATGTTGAAGGCAAGGTTCAATGTTGCAGAGCGGTGGAGGTTATCAATGTATACTTACAAACCTGTTGAAGAACTATATGACGAGTGTCAAATCCTCACCGTTCTCACAGAAATCTAAGTTAATGGCACAGAATTAGAACAGTTTTGGTTGGTTCGCTTTAGGCGAGAATCCGTCAGTGAACTTGAGCGTACTTATCCAATACCTATTCCGAATTTTTCGACAGCCCCTGAAGAAGATTTGATAAATAACGGGCAACTATTAGACTTTAACTTGTAGAATTCATACTGAAGAACTAGAGGGAGAAAAGCAAATATGCACAAGCAATCAAGTCTGTTTATCAACCGGCCCGGTGAACCCAGTCATCAAATCACTCCAAGCCATATTTGTCATGGGTAGCAAACATCCAGACGGATTGCCGAAGATAGTATGTCAGTGAAACAGTTATTCTATGTCCTCAAACAAGGTGACATGCTTTAAAACGCGTCATTCAGGAATGGCTACAGCTGTAATCTATGAAAAAGGCTTTCCTTATCGTACAGGTTTTTCGGAGACGTCTAGGGATATGGATACACGACCATTTCGGAACATCAACACGTTACGACAATCTGTGGACCAACAGTGATACACTGAATCGTCCTGATCTAGCCCTCGAATGGAATCAACCTAAACGCTCGAAATACATTCAAAAAAAGATCAGTGATCATTAAGTACATAAAGTCACACGTATTACGTAGAACGTAGGCAAAGAAATGTCATCTAGAACAGAGAGAAGCATCAGATGGCCAGGGTTAGTGTAGACGGTCAGAGGTCGCGGTAACAGCGGCGGTGTGAGCGTGCGTGGTGGAAATCTCAAGTATGCGAACCGTGGGAACGTTTTAAACGGGTTCAACTTTTGATGGTTTCGCAGCCAGATTTCAACTTCCACAACACCTATTAAATGAAATTATTACGGTTTGATTTCCGGTTGCAATCATTACGTTTAGGGATAGAATTTGGATTCAGGATGAAAGTCAGTGTAGTTTCCGAACAGGAACTAGAAAGAATGCTCAAACTGTTCGGTTGGTTTGCATCTAAGGAAACAAATCTTGGACCTGAAATTCACTTGAGTCTTCCGTTGAAACCAGTTGAGTGTACAAATAAGCGTAGTTGACGAATTACTTCCAGCTTGGGCTCAAGTAGAAAATGAAGTTTAGAAGGACTTGTATAATGCGCCTATCTAATGAGCCCCAAGAAGGATGAAACCGGTCGTTGGTAGCTACACAAATTTTGGCGATGTTATGAGTCCAGTGAACAATTTCAAAATTATCGTAGAATCTCTGTTTCCCGTGGCAAGATTTTTACGGTTGAGCATTCAACTTTCCCATTTTGAGTCAGTAGCTTTATTATTACAAAACCGACAAGGAAGCAATACCATTTTCTCAGTTCAAGCGCGTCCAAAATGTTCCATGTCAGTTTCTACTGTCAACCGTGAAATCTGTTAAGAGGTCCAGATGACGAGGACGAACGATAACGTTTGGCTGGATTCGGTTGTGCTTGAAGTCATATGAAGTGCGCTCGTAATACTGCCTCCTGTTTACCAGGTTGGCCTCGTCCATACGCGTTTGAGACCGTTCAGAAAAATGTTCTCTGCGTACGGTTTAACCAGACGGCGTCACCAGTCGTTGGTGATAGATTATCTGATCGGCTGTCTAAGAATTTTGAGATCTGTCATATAAATGGTTATAAAAACTTTTAACAGCAGTGCATTTTAACAGGGGACTTGCCTCCGAGCAACGCTTTTGCTAACGTCAACCATGGACCGGAACTGACCAATTTCGACATTTTAATTACCAAGTTCCGATTGGCAAACAAAATGGTGAATTGTCGTGCAGTTTTTATGCTTGACTAATGGTATTCCTGGATCGACACAAAGGTTTTAACAGTGATTGGAAAGTGGAATTCACCAGGCTTGTTGGCAAAAATCTCTGGCGCATCATTCGAATAATTTCAAAGGCCTGGTGATACTGTCAGCAATCTCCAAATGTATCCTATTTCTCGGTTGACTCAAGTCAAACAATGCATAAAAAGGCCAGGGCAAAGGTGTCAGAGGGATCGTAATAATACACGTCATCCCGTCAAAATGGTTGGGCCACAAACTTGATTGAGTGTGGATAGGGGTAGGAAGAGAAAATAGTGATCTCGTAGTTGAAGAAAAAGCCTAATGTTAGCACATAACGACTAGATATAGCGGAGGAGGAGAGGGAGCTTTAGTAATCTATGAAATGGTAGCCTAGAAGCGAAAACTACGACTCATGTTTTAACGGACAGTGGGTATAGGACCTTCAAGTTACCTTTGCTTGCTGTTTGCTGAGCTGCTTACCTGTTGCCGCTCAGGCGGATTTAGGTTTCTTTGCCTAGCTTGCCACAGGGGTTACAAATGGTTCTCCATCATTCGAATAGTGTGCGCTTCCGAGCTACCAACATTTCGATAGGCTGATCTGGTTCTTTAAACAGTAGCCCTTAGAAAACCACTGAATTCAGACGAATTGATGTTGATAACACAGCTGGTCATACAACGTATCCGAAATGTCACACTTATACAGCAGGCTAAACCTGAAAGCCATTCGCCGATGTAAGCAAAATCGATGTCTGGGAAGGCTTTTAACAATCTATGTTACTGGGCTGATTGGCATACCTAAGCCATTCTCAAGATTCACGCGCTACCATCACTCTCGAAACCAGATGGAACGTGAGACCAGGTCTTTGATATGCGATCAGTTACTTAATAGGGGTAGATTATAAGCCTAATACCACCGCTGAATAGGTCACATCATTTATATATATATATATACATATATATATATATATATATATGTATATATATATATAGGAACTTATTT